TAATTGCCATTACAAATTTGTGCTAAATTGATAATTCATTAATTATCTTATCCTTATAATAAGTCTAATAATTTAGTTAACTAATTTTGGTAATTAATTAACCCTTTTATTCATATACTAAGTATACATAAGTTAGTTAATTAATCTTAGTAATTAATTAACTTCCTTAACCATATTCTAAGTTTTAGATAATTTAATTAATTAGTTTTAATAATTAATCAAATTATCATCCATAATACACTTTTAATAAACTTTACTTTACCTCACTTGACGAGCTCATAATAGTGTTGAGGTCCATATTTACCATCATAAAATTAAGCGTCTAGCGTATCATTTCTTTACGATTTTCGCTTACATACTTATTTGAAAACCGTTAAGTTTTATTGGAAAACTATATACGACGTTTAACATAAACATAAACCTAATTCACGAATCTCATAATTAATGTATTTCGTGAAAATCATACGCTTTATATGACTATCTTAATTAAACTGTAAGCAAGGTTTGTACTTGCCTGGATTCCGAGCTAAGCGGTTCTGATAGTATCTCGCTTGTCGTGTCCTCCTGCGTATTCCTCAAAACTAATTTTGGAAAAAGCTGCAAGCACTATGAATGATCCTTGAGGAACATCGTAGCTTTAAACACTCGATTCTGATCTTCACTTGTTTAGTCTGAACCACCTCGATCCACGTGCAATTAGTACTAGACCATTCTTATCATAATTGAATTTGGTTGAACGGACATTACCATTTCGTTCAGCACATCGAAACAAGTCGGGATATGGTCTCGGATCATCAAACGGATGTCGATAGCCTGAGAAACGACACCTCGCCGGAATATGGCGACGGCGGGGGAGGCTCCCGGAGAGTTTTTCCGCAGCGAACTTGGGTCCTACCCCCCCATAACTTGACCCTTCTGAGTCCATTGGTGCGGTCAATTTCACACCATTCGGCCTGTAACAGTACCTATCGGGACCAGCAACGTCGGTAAAATTCAGCGACTCAAATCTTACAATTCCGGTAATCAATTCTTAAAATTGGATGAGGGGTTTTCTTACCCATTTCCTTCTGAGTGTTGTGACACCAAATTCACTACGATCCAACGGTTAGATCATGGGAACCACCTCTTCCCTCCATGGACGACGGTAGTGGCTCCGTTTTCTGGCCAAACTGCGACGGTGGCTGCTGGTCAAGATCTACTGGGCGTCGGCTTCTGAGTCGATTGGTGGGGGCGGTGACATCCGTAACGGCCTGGAGAGAGAGAAACGACG